TTCCTAGAATTCTATAGAGCGTCCACGCAATAGCCTCATTGGGAGCCTGAGTATTCGCAAAAATAGGGGGGAAGGGGGGGGTCTTGGTGGGTTCGTAGTAGGAGAGCCATTAAAAAGGTGGGTACCCCCCTCCCAAGCGACCTAAAAATGATGCCTCTTCTATTATCGCTACCACGTTCTATGTGTCCTGCAGAGCTTCCAAGCAATATCAAAGGCACCAATTGGAAGCCTGAGCATTCGTAAAAATAGGGAGGAATGGTGGGAGTCTTGGTGGGTTCGTAGTAGGAGAGCCACTAAAAAAGGTGGGTAACCCCCTCCCAAGCGACCTAAAAATGATGCCTCTTCTACTGTCGGTACCACGTTCTACGATGTTCTACGTGCTCTGTAGAGCTTCCAAGCAATAACATAAAAGCCATGCCTCTTCTAGTAACTCTACCCTACGCAACTATTCTACGTGGTCGGCCCCCCCCAGGCCTACCCCCCCCACTACCTCATCCATGTCGGAAATAGTTCTGAACTATTTCTTCCCCCCCCCCCACCCACCCCCCTCTTAAGGGAGGGGCCATGGCGGTTTCATATTCCAACAATTATTATTGTTCTCCTTTCCAGAATGTGCGCCGGCGGGGACCTTCAATATTCGTGAGTTTGCCTTAAAGCGCTTTCTGAGCGATTTTGTGAGTCCGAGCTAATCTAGCAAAAAATTGATAGGTCCAACGATTCCTCCAGGCGAGTGGAACGTGCGAGAATCCATTTAGGAGACATTGCCCAAAGAGTACCTTGATTTGCTTCAGATCCCTGAATGGTCTCACCGCGGACGCGTAGCAATGAAATTTGTGCGGTTATGCCGCTAGCAATTTGTGCTGCCAATTTTCATGCAAGCGTTCGTCTGGAGGTTCGGCTTTGCTCCTGCCGGTATTTCTTTGCTCAACAAGTTGAAGCACAGCACAAGGTGCTGGGTCTTGGCAACTCATGTTATTCATTCTGTTCTGAATGATGGATTTGCAATGATTGAAACTCCATTGTGGATCTGGCGTCCATAACTGTCATCGTTGCTGTTGGCAAACACATGATTTAGCTTCGGAAGTAAGATGACAAAAAGCAAGCACACTTATGATAACAAGGTTTGGGAAGATCCAGCTGATGAAACACAACGCAACAATCCTTCCAGGAAAGCTTCACTCGTTTTCGGCTTGCGCCATGGCAGTGGAAGTCTAGAGGCAGGCAAGACAAACGGTCGTCTCCCCGATCCTGGAGGCGTCATGGCTGATGTGCTGCACCTCTGCTCTGCTGGATTTTGTGACGTTGCGCACACCGGAGTCATGCAATTTGGGCTTTGAGGGGTCGTGTGCAAGCTGACCTGCTTGGGCGTGATGCCGTAGCAATGTCACCAGCAAGGTGAAGCAACGATGATTGTGCGAGATATGCACTTGAACTCTGTAAGGCTCATTGCCAGGTATCCAGACAAAGCTGTGGTCGTACTTTTTGTTTGACCACTCTGTAGTGAGTGAAGTATGAAGAAGCCATACCTTGCGCAGGCCTTTGCCGCACAATGGCTCGATCGAGCTCTGGGTCTTTGGCTTGGAGTGTGACAAAAAGGTAAGATAAATGTTCAATTTCCTTGTGTTGGTGACGTTCATGTGCACGCACGTGTTGTGTAGGATGGGGGCAATTCCACTCTGTGAGGTCGCGAGATCGCCGGCGAGCGAGTTGATAGCTCAGAATGCCAACAGAGCAGACTCAAATGATAACCTGAAGTAGAGGGTGGAACATTGCATTAGTGACATGATGGCCTCTCACACCTACGATTCTGGCAGGTCTGATTTTCGTGGCTAAGCAAAGATCTGACGTTACCTTGATCAGGACGGAGTAAGTCTCGAGGGAGAGACAAACGGTGAGGGACTCAGCTTTGTCTTGGATGCTTCAAGCATTGACACATGCCCTGTTTGGAAGAATTGCAGGAAAAGCAGGTCGCGCTCGTGGGCGGCCCAGTCTGTGATCTTAACTCACCTGATGATGATGCTGCTGATGATGATGATAACGATACTGCAAGGAAGTGGGCATGACATTGCCAAGAAGTCGCAAGACCTAGACCGAGCCCCAAAACTTGTTTTCCAGTTGCAGGCGACGGCGGAGAGGGGCCGCATCTCGGTGAGGCCCTGAGGTCACACAGCGCACATTCAGCTTTCATGAAGCCGCAGATCAGGTGTCCTTCCTCGCGTAGGATGTAGGGTGCATTGGCTACACGCAGTTTTTGGATTGTTTATCCGCTGGTGCTATGTTGATTGCAAAGTTTATGGAGGGCAGCTGCAGAAACCGTGTTGCTGAGGTCTCAATCTGCTCCAAAAAGGCCGCGAGAGTTTGAGTGTCCAGTGGAAAACGAGCACGACGAACAGATGTGGTTCATGCTGCAGTTGCACTGCTTGGACATTTCATGGCTACTTTCTTTTGGCAGAAAGCAAGACAAGAAGGAGAAGGCCAAGGACGATGATCACATCCTTGCCGTTGCGTGATCTTGCTGTTGCATGTAGCTGTAAAAAAACTCTTCGAAGGTGTTAGACATGCTACTGGGGAAGCATTACTATAGAAGATTATTTATGTGGAGAGAAATATTCCTCCCTCCTTATACTCGATTGAAGGCGTCCTGAGCCAGATGGTATGGGAGGCTTTCAACTGCAGATGGCCTATGCCCAGGAGAAGCCTGCGCCAGCCCCTCGGCGGACACCAACGCCATCACCAGCCAGGCTGGAACTGGATTTCCTAATTTGCTGTTTTCCCCAATAAATACCTTTGCTTCGGGGAAGTTTACATACTCTTTTCAATCTAGATGTGAAGGTGCACAGCAGTAGGATTTATATGTCTGACACAGCTGCCCGGGCACGGTAGGTCTGAGTCTCAAAAGTCGGGCTCTCAGCACCATGGCCTTCAGAATTTTGCAGCAAGGCATACAGCCGAAGTGACAAAGTGCATTGTCGTAGGACAGCTGGTTGGTGTATTGGATGATTGCAGAGAAGATGCTGTGATGATGCAACTGAATGCAGGAGTCATCGTTAGTAGTATGTAGAGCCCTCCACTTCCAAGGAACCTGTCTGACTATGAAGGGGAACTGTCCAGGCGCAGCTGTGTTTGGCAGTGCAATCAAGTCAAGCTTCGGAGCAACTGAGCTGTACCCTGCAGATGCTGGTCATCAGCTAGATTCCCTGTAGAGTGGACGGAGGTCGCCATCCAGGCCGGCCAAGCGACGAGCACCGCCAGGAGCTTTAAGAATTTCCAAGGCTGCATTTAAGCGGGCGGAGCAGTTGGAAGCTCAGGTCTCGGTCACCCGAGCGTGTGCCGCCGACCCAGTTCGAGGACTATGAGCCGGCTGGGGATGGTTGGGTGCCCAGCAAGCCCAGCAGTTGGATCTCAGGGCATGTCTGAGCTCACATCATGATTGGAAGTATTTCTGATACCATAACTATCAGAGTTACTGTTGCAGAAGCTTCCAAAGCGAAACCCAGCTAAATGTCTGAAAGCCATGCCATCTTTGCCAAACTACTCACCCCGTAAACCTTGCTCACACGTCATCTTTTGCAGCTACAAGATATGTGTCTTTGCCACACATTGGGTTTGCGTTATCATGCTGCGCTGAAGCAGGCAGTGGCTGGTATGCAGCGCCCTCAGTCAAATTTTGTTTTGAAAATCGGGGTAGCAGGGCCTAGGGGCCCTCGCGCAATGGTCAGGAAAGTTGCCAGTCTCTGCTTTGTACGAAGAGAGTTGAGAAGCGCAGGGTTCGTTTGGCCCATCAGCAGCAGAATGCACTATTTGTCACCCTGCTTCAGAGCGAGCACAGGAAGAACTTGAGGTATCTGAAGCCGTGAAATGCGCGCAGAAGAACTTGCTTCATGAACTCCTACAAGCTCCGATCGGAGCCTTCTGCATGACATCAGCCATGGAATCTGGGAATCTGAAATCCGCCATGGTTTTTCGACGGACGCCGTGGACGCAAGCATTGGGCAGCCTGGCTCTTGCCGCGGTGCTCCGGGCAAAAGCCAGTGCTTTTTGAGGTCGCTGCACTTCCCGAGTTCTGGGTAATATTAGGGTTATATTGGGATGATGGAAAATGAAATGGAAAGAAATATATAGGGTGTAGGGGTGTAGGCTGCTGGTACCAGCTGTTTGGCAATTTGTCTTTCTCGGCTCAGTGTGCAGAGTGTGGGTTGTAAAACAACCCACCATGTACGAGTTGCCATTGACACATCAAGAGCTCAAGGCATGACATTTGCCTGCACAGACGACCAGAGCACACGGAAATTCTGATGTCAGACATCTTGTAAAACGAGAAGGGTAGAGAATACATATGAATGAGCTTTGCGAGTTTTTGCCTAGACTCTGGTACAGCATTTGGCTAGGGCGATCGTGACATGGCATTGCGGCCTCACTGGTCCAATTTTCATTGTTCCGCGGTCCGCCCCCACCTCATCGCTGCAGGCGTGCCTGTGTAGCTTTAGTTCAGACTGAAGGCGTCAAACGAAAGACATGGAGACTTGGTCTGCTCTTGATTATGGAGTCATCTTGATCGTTGCTCTTGCTTGTTTTGTACTGCAAAGCCCGCATGAGAATTTGTTGTGGTCATTTCAGGTGTAATTGAGGTCCACGAAGGCCTGAACAGGCATAATAAGGAAACTTGTTTAGATCCTTGCTTTAGAATACTTGAGCAACGTCAATCATGACGTAACAGTCGAACCGCCTTTGCACCATGGATTGCAGCAACGTTGTCTACGTCTAAGGTTTTGCAGAGTAACTTGTAGACAAGCTGGTTCTTGGGGCAGGTGCCTTTGGCCCACACCTGTGTGAGCATGTCCGCCGGATGATTTTCCGAGGCCTGGATGTACCTGAGAAAACCATCCCGGTGCTCCATAAGAGTTGCGAGATGAATGCAAGATGTATTCTGAAGGGGGAGCTCCAGAGACGTCCTTGTGGTTTATAGGATCTGTTTTTTGGAGTGCTCATGGGAGTTTCAGCCAGGGTTGCTCGCCTCAATTGGAATCCTTGTTCTCGCCCATCCTGTCCGGAGCCTTGAACATTCTATTCGATAAGTACTTGCATCTGGTTGTGGGATTGCCGCGCCCTTTTTGTGTTATAACAATAATTTTGGTCAAATTGCAAGGTGCATGGTTTCGAATGCTCAACTGTCCAGTCCGGTTTTCGACTTGTGTGACATCATTCTTCCAGATTGCATCTTGTCGAGGTTCATCAGCTCAAGCAGCTCAGACATGCTGCAATGACACGTGAACATGATTGTGTTTTTGAAGGACCAGGGGTCAACGGCGACTTCGCGTTCATGAGCCCTGGCTGACATGCGCAATATTTGCAGTTTTGACAGGCCATCATTTTCCTGTGTTATAATGAGTCCTGCCAGGAGTAGCACCAGAGCCTCTCGCCTCGCCACTGATCTGGTCGTGCATTGGGACACTTCACAGATGCTTTGTTGCAAGTTGAGAACATTGCTTACAACATCTTTTTTTTTTTGTTGCTGCATTTCCTTTCGTTGGTGCCGTACCTTGTTTGGTAATCCTTTTCCATCAGCAGCCGGTTGCTTTCTCTTCCCACCCTTTCGCCACGGTCGGCGCTCGTGGGGCTCGTGATGCGGTTGCTATGCCTGCTACACCTTCATCATTTCATCTCGTTGTCAAAGCCTTGAGCGCCTAATGTCTGGCCATGTCTCTCAGCCAGATGTTTTATACCACCTCCGCTTGCCAAGCGATACCTCTGCCACAGTGGCTCAGGATGGCGGAGCAGTGCCGCATTCCACTGCAGCTTTGCTACACTCGGGTCATGGAAGGCTGGGGCTGGAAACGCGACTACATTTCTGAACCAATTCTCGTAAGGGGCACGCATCCTGTTGGTGAGATTGCCCAGAATTCGAAATGACAGTACCAAAGTGTGGTGAGAAGAGCGCAACCACATCAGGGAAGGTAGCCCGAAGCCACAAACATAGATGGGTGCAGCCTTTCGCGCCCACATCATAGGGGCCTGGACAGTTCAGTTTTCTGTGCAGTCAAGTGGCCCCACAATGCTTACCAAACTACCGCTGCTTTTTTCAGTCATTTGAGGTATTCTGTCTGGTTCAGGTGCGGCTTATGCATGTTGACATTTTGAAAATACCCTAATGTTGTAGGACTATGCTATGTCATCTGACGGTGACCCTTCAAAGCCAATCACCCAAAAAGCAACAAACAACAACGCCAGACAACACCGAACCAATTTCCCGACCCAAAAAAAACAGCACCAAAAAAGTTTCCAGCAATCTGCCCTTGCAACGCTTCGCCTCAAGGTTGCCAGTTGTTTTGTCGTGCAATTTCCTTGTATTGGTTGTAGGTTTTGGGGGAAGTGGTTTTGGGGTCTCCATGTTATCGTGGATTACAGACCCTGTGTCCAAGTCTTAAAAAATCATAGCCCATTGGGATCAACACTGTTTCGGGCCGTGCTGTTTTGTTTTTTTTTCTGCCGCCAGGGGTAAGGGCAGCTAGCTCTAGATTTCTAGTATCTAGATTCTAGATAATGTAGAAATCCTGGCTCATCTGAAGCTGCTACACCTATTTCAATTACTCTTTTGACGAACCAAGGCATCCCTCGAGCCAGGGGTTCCCCTCTAATTAAGTTAATGCAATTGCTTCCAAGAAATTGAAAGAGATCTAATTTGACTTGCGCTGGTTCCTAATGTCTATTTTTCTTCAAATCACGCATTATTATTCAGAGTGTATATATAAGTAATTTAGATAGCATAGTCTACTCAAATTAATGGGGAAAATCCCAGACATATGGGTGACGGTGTTTTCTCGGCATGTTAGTTCCGTCAGATTTCTCTTGACTGAGGTCGGGTGGATTTGTTTGTGAATTTTAGTCTTGATCATGCAGACGGAAAAATGACCTCTCAAGCCAGGGGGTTTTCTCCTAGCTAAAAAGGAAAAGGAATTGGGCCTGGCTGTAGGTGCCGGTGCACAGGAAGTAGCAGTCAGGACACAAGTGAAATGATCGTGGTGGACAGCAGCAGGATCAGCACCACCCACTGGCTAACTCGCGTTTCATCTCTCCCACACCTTTTTGACCATGCTTTAATGCTTTCAGGGGCCCAAGAAACCTTTCGGAGTTCCACCAAGCTAAAGCTTCCACAGCCCCGATGCCTACACAGACCGGCTTTTTGGCAACAATCTCCAGTACTCGTGTGCGGCCGCGAGCAGTTCGCGCTTCCATGTTCTCTTCCGATTGCGTTTTTGTACGGTCAAATCATAGTTGCTCAGGAGGCCTGCGGGCCAACTGCTCCATGCATTGCCGATTTTCTGACAAAGAAGGAACCGTCTGAATGAGAGGGCCTCAAGCGAAAGTGCCTTCAGCGTTCTTCACTTTCGGTTCTACTTTCTGTGTGCGTGATCAAGTTGAAATTCGAGTAAGCAAGCCCCCTCTTGCAGGGAGAGCTTTAAGCCATAATTGAGAATGGCTTGGGTGGTTGGACTGGACGTCGTTTTCTCTGGTTCGGCGCTCAAACTATTGGACGTAATCTAAGTAGTGTAGAATCTGTAAATGGTGGAGTTGACACCGAACAGCTTAGATACCTTCAAATGAGAGAGTGGACGGTTACTTACTTTTCTTCATGGTTTTGGGTGCCTTTATGGTCTCCCTCGAATAAGAGTATATGTATCTACAAGGTATAACTCCATAAAAAACGAATTGAAATCATCTTCCAAACTGAAGTGTGACTGAGACAAGCTACCAAAACGCAGTGGTAGAGTTCTGCCCTGCAACCCAGAACTCTAAACCCTAAACTCTAAACCCTAAACCGTAAGCTCTAAACCCAAAACCCGAACTTCAGCATTCTTGCGACTGCCCCGTGTAGGTGCCTGGGGACACGTTGTCCTGGTCGTGGCTTGGCCCAAGATTTGAGATGATCGTTGACTTCTTGAGCTCTGTGCCCTAAACAATGATATCAATAGTAATAAATATTATTGGTTCTTAGTAGGGAATATGGAATATTACATAGGAGTTATATACATGGCCAGGAATAAGGTTTCGACCTGATGGGGCCTCGGGGCTGGTCAGGAGGCCCAACATCCGTGAACAGAGCATTCAGCATGGGCCGTGTTGCGGAATAAATTCATACAATGTTTTCAATTTCCACTACTTTAAGGTTACAGCGGAGCCCCCAAACTGCTCAGTGGAGGAGTCTGTGGGGAGATGAGGTCTGCTTGTAGGTTTGCAATAACAAGTGGGTCGAACTTTCGTCCTACCGCAGTAGGGATCATATTTCTTTATTCTTTCCTACGAACCAGCAAGTGATAATAGTAAAAATGCAATAATTGACTAACAGGCCGGACTGTAAACCCCTGCCGATTCATCCGTGCAAGCACGCAGCTATGGGCATTCCCGAAAATACACGTCGTAAAAAACAGGGTTTTAAGCGTGCTCTTGCAAAACATTGCGTTTTGCAGGGGATTCGCTCCGGCAGGAATTTTGAAATGTGGGTTTCCGGATGAAGAATTGCATGTCTGGGGTTTCATATTGTAGGAGTCTAGGTCTAGGTCAAGGGTTTAGAGCTCACAGGGGTTTGTCGCAACTCGGAGTTAGTATTGTTTGGGCATGGATGCTCTGGTTATCGTATGCACTCGGAAGA